AGCACTAGGGATAATAATAATTTTGGATGATTATAATTATAATTTTTTTATTTATTATTATTGTTATTATTATTTATTATTGTTATTATATAATTAAATAATTTTTATTATTACAATTATTGCCATTATTATTGTTGATTATTATTATTATTATTATTGATACTATTGTTACTACCGTTATTATTATTAATAGTTGTTGCTATTATGAGTCATGATGATCAACTGTAGAGATATATTTATTATTCGATCGTATTATTGGTAGAAATTTTCAATTAATTATTTATTTACATTTCAATTCAACTTATAAATCAAAAAAAAAACAGCTGATTTACCAAAATAATTACAAAAGAAATAGCGAAAAAATTTATTCGATAATTATTCAATATCCAAATGAGCGCTAGAATCATAAGCATTACTCAAGTATTAATTAATTATCAGTGATAATTAATGATTAATTAAGTGGTAATTAAAAAATTAATTTACCCAATTAGCTTTACTCATTCTTTATTAAATTATTGATGTGATAGTAAGAAGTTTGGTTTTTTTTGAAAAAATTTGCTGTAACTATTTACTTTTTCTTACAATTAATTTTATCCATTTATATTAAATAAAAAAAAAAAAGAATTTTTTCTTACCGTTTTAATCCTAATTTCAAATTTAAATCCAACCTTTTATTATAGTCAATAATAAAAATTTATTTCAAAATTTATAATTACTAATTTATTTAGAAATGTATTTTTTTATTCATTTTATGTTACAAATGCTTTTTTTGCAACATTTATTTACCATAAGTGAGCAAGCATATATCTCTCATATGATTTAATTGTAATCAATTCATATCATAAATTACCGAACATTTTTTTTCTAATCAAATACTCAAATAATGATTATCACATTTTATGGTTGATTATTTCTTTTAAAAGTTATTCTTAGCTACTATTTTGTACATATATATATTAAACAACAGTTTAAAAATTAAAATATGAAAAGAAACTACTATTCATAATGAATCATAGTATAGTTTAAACTTTAATTTTAAATTTTAAACGAACTAATTCAATTTTAATAATAATATTTTAAGTAATATGAAAAAATATTCTTTTAATTAAAAAAATTTTTTTTTAAATAAAAGAGTTTTTCATAATGATCCACGAATTAATTTACTCATAATAATAATACTTGAAATAATATTAAATAAATTAAAATATGTATGAGATTTTTAGAATTTTTGTACAGTGCATAAAGATTCTTAACAATTTAACAATTTTAAAAGTTTAATGATGAAATTTTCAAGGTCTTCCGTACGTGTATGTCTCTGTAAGGTGTATGTGTGTATGCATGTATGTATTATAGGTATGTATATGTATGCGCTATGCATGTGTTCTAATTATCTTATCAATGTTCTATTTCATTAATTACATCACTTAATAAGTGGGATGTTAATTAATTTTCTATTGTTAATTGTATGCCATATGATTTCTTCGTTCTTTTTTTTAATTCTCTCTCCCTCCCTCTCTCTCTCTCTCTCTTTCTCACTTCTAACTATTCTTTTGTTTATCTTTTTATTCCATTACTTTTATCATAGAAATAATTTTTGCGCTTTCTTATCAAATATATGAAATGATAGAATAAATGACCACAATGGATATATGTAATAAAATGTTTTTTTTTTTTTTTTTGTGAATCAGAAAACAACTAATAATACTATTTTATTTAAAATTAAGATAAGAAATAATAAATAGGCAGTAATTATAATCGATAACAAAACTTTTAGAAAAAATCAATACTTGAAATTAAGAAAGACAATAAAAAAAAGAAAAATAGATAATAATTAAAATTACTATTAGAGCGTTTCTTTTTCTTTTGAAAAAATTTCATATTAATTTCTAAAACTCTTTTTTGTTCCTCTCACTCAAAAAAGAAGGAAAAAATATGTTTATTTCTTTTTTATATTCTATTTCTATTTATTTTTTATTAGAAATAATTTTTATACTTTACTAGAAATGATTTTTATGCCACTGTGCATTCAGCGTTGATATTTATTTATTTATTTTTTTTTTCAAAATGTATCAAAACTTCCATTATGAAAATTCTTCGTTCTCATTCTTATTTTATTTAATTTTCTTTTAAATTCATTTTCTCTTTTTTTTGAATTAATTTTCAGTTTCCTAATTTTGTATGATTTGATGTTACATTTAAATGTTACTAAGTTAATCCAATATATTTTGTACTATTTTTTTCTCTATTTCTATTCAACTTTTTCTCCAAATTTTCCAAATGACAATTCATTTTTTTTTTCAATTTTTTTTCTTGAAAGTTAACAGTTCTATTTGCCTTTTTACTCGAAAAAATGACAATTCTAACTTATTTCCGAAATTTCCAAACATTTATTTTTTTCATTTCCTTTATTCTAATATTATAAAATTCATACCTGACAACAGTTTTTTAATAAATAATTAATCACTGTAACGCTTAATGGATACCAGATGTTATCAAATATTATTTCTTAATTGGAACCACTTTATAACCATTTAATGCATACAAAATTCTAACTTAAAAACAAATTATATACAAAAATATTATTTGCATTTATACAAACACATATAAAAATACTTACAAAAATATAAAAAGAAAAAGGAAAAAATTATGATTAAAATATTATTTTTATTTATTATTTTTTAATTCTTTAGTCACTTTTAATTACTATTTCATTCACCGATTTTGCTTGCGTTTTATTTTCAGCTTTCACCAATTATTTCATTAGTTAAATGTTGAATAGTGCAGGATGAAACTGCTTAATTACTATTTTGCTTAAATTTCTTCTTTCTCAATTAAACAATGACATTATTCTCTCATATTCAAAAGTTTGAATTTTTCTTAAAAAATATTTTTAAATAATAAAGAATAAAAGCATAAAATATTTTGCTAATATCTGATAATTGTATCTTTTTAAAAATTGATTCCATGATCAAACACATACACATATATATACATACAACCTAACATTGTGGTAATGTTAACCTAATTTTATTTCATTTCTTTCACAAAATTTACGATTTGAAATCTTTTTTTTTATTTTTTTAAACTAACCAATTTTTAGATAGCTTTATTAAAAACTATCAAAGAGAAAGAGAGAAAGAAAGTGAGAAATAGAAAGAGAGAGAAAGTTTAAAAAAATACTTTAGTGATTTATATCTGAAGATTTTATCACCATGAACTTGTCACACTTATCATTATTTATCAATACCGTTTCCATCTTACGTAGTTTTTTTCCTGTAATCTTTTAATTTCATCTAATTTTACAAAAACTAAGTATTTGAAAAAAAAGAAAAAGAACTCCTACTGTTACTAATACAAGGGCAAATTATGATTGACATCATTACGAGACTAAAATTTGCCCAAATTTTTAATTTTTCGCTCAACATTTCAATTAAAATCTTTTATATTTTAATTTTACCCGAACATTTCAATTAGTAAATCATTCAAATCACTTATGATTTTCTATGAATCAAAAAATAAATATTCCTAATGCCTTCTATTTTTATCGCGACAAAATTATTGATTTATAAGTGTAAGAGATAAGATTGCTAAGTTATTTTTAACTACGTTATTTGGCGTACGTTTGTTACGTTAATCTTCTTTTAAAAGCGGAAAAATTATGCCAATTTCTTTTGGCGAAAATAATTAATTTTGCGGGCGTTAACAGAATTATATAAGGTCTGATTTTAAAAAATGCTAATCCAACTTTTAGTTGTTTATGCGATTGGTTTTAGTTAGCCAATTGAACTAAAATATGAAGAATTTTAATTCTATAAGTCATTGTTATTACTAATATAAATCACATATTACTTTGATTTTTCATTCTTTTTTTTGTAGTTATCTTAAATTGTTTTCAACTATAATTTTGTTGCTCTTTTTAAACAAACATATCAACAACAAAGTAAGCAGTAAAATTCCTTTTTATTTCAATATTTTTCTATATTTTGTTTTCGATTTATTTTTTTCACAAAAAATTTATCAACTGATATTTTTAATTTATTTGTTATCAGATTTCATCTTTGTCTTTAAAATTATATATGATAATTGAGTAGCTAATAAATTTTCATTTTTTACAACTATCTAAATTAACCCAACAATCTAAAACACTTTTACATTGAAATTGCTTATATCTACTGCATTTGGAGGTTTTCGTCGTTTTATTTTACCTTATAAATTTATGCTAAATTTTAAATTCATTAAAATTTGTTCCCATTTAAAAAATTTTATTGCAATCCTTAATAATAGATTTATTGAAAATTTTAGCTTACATTATTTTGTTCTTTGTTCCTTTAAAATTAAGTCGTCATTATAAATTTTTTTCATTTTAATTAATGCTCTTTATAATTATATCTCATAAAAAAAGAACTTATGAAAAATCTTTAGAAACATAGAAATCATGTCTATCCATCAATAAAAAGTCCAATATATTTATTTTTTAATCTGTTTAAATTTATCATGGCATACTAATTTTCAATCTTAAGATTGAAATATAAATTGTATTCTAATAATTCTTTTATCCTATTTGTTCATCGACCACTTTGATGTTATAAAATAATCTTTTGTCAGTACTCAGAGAAAAATAATTCCACTCTTTTTTTTTTTTATAATCATAGGTGCTCATTTGAATAGAGGAATCAAGACAAAGAAAGAGAGAGAGAGGGAGGAAGGAAGGTTAGGAAAAAATAAGATTTATTTATATTTTTTTTTTAATTCTTATCAATTGTCCTTACTTTATCCTATGCTTAGAAATTTTCATCAGTAAAACAGGAACAATTGCATCTACATTCTATGTTTCAGGTGTTGTTAAATGTCACAAACAATTAACTTTAAATAATTTTTAAAATAGAATGAATTTGATAAACTTGATTTATAATAAAATATTTTCTCATCTCTTTTGTCTTTTTTTTTTTGGAAACAACAGCAACAGTAAAAATCAACAGCAATAGTAATAATAATAAAAGATGAAAATTTGGCATATGGAGCAGTATCCAATTGGTGACCGTCGCCTTCCTCATCATGTTTATCCACCAAAATTGTATACAACTGATCAATTGCAAGCAATTGCTGGTGTCGTTTCATATAAGGTATTAATTATGGTAAATTAATTGATTAACAATTTGCTAAAACAAGAGCAAATTCTTCAAATTATTATTTCATCATTAAAAATTTTCTTTTATCATATATTTGATGAATGTAAAATTAGTTACCATTAAGATTTCTTATTTATTGTTTTTTAAATATCATTTAAAATTTATTCATTTTACTGTAAAAGAAATATGTCACATTAATTGTCGTAAAGGTTGATATTGATGATGCTAATGCGATGAAAAAACGCATATCACGGGTGAAAGCAGAACGAAAAATGACCACAACTGATATTTTTACTCTTGATCAAAATACAAACAAGTTCGAAGAAAAGGTCAATTTTAATAAATTGAATGATTTTGAAAAAAAAAAAATTGCGTCCCAAAAAATATTCTACTTAATTGAAACATTACCAAAACTATATTCCGATCCTTTGAATAATAAATTGCCAAAAGTTTGCTTTACAAGATTTCTTTGCTGACTCTTTATCAGGCATCAAAAAATTAACGATAATGATAATAGCAATATAATTACAGCAATAATGGTAATAATAATAATTAACAATAATACTAATAATAATAATAATAATTTTAGTAAATATAAGATGAAATAGGCGTTTGGATGACAACACAAAAAGTAGGAAGAATTACTTGTCAACTAATAAATCATTCTTTAATCAATTAAACAAATTGTTTATTACAAATTAAACAACCTTTAAATAACTGAACCTTTTGCATAAATATGGCAGTCATTTAAGAGTAAATGTGAAAATATGATATTGAGAATGATATTGTTTATCAAATAAATCAAATTCAAAAAAAAAAGAAAAAATTATCGGATAAACAAAAAAGTTTTATTTTTTTTTTTAAAGAAAGACATTGCTTATATTTTTTATTGTTTATTGAGCATTATTTATCAAAAATAAACCTATTTTATTGAACTTTTTAAAGTTCGAAAAATTTCTTAAAGAATTCTAAACTATGAAGTGGTTTTACACAATAAAATTATCACAGTTGGAACAATTATACGAACCTGTTGCAAAAGACGTAGATTCTGCATTTCTCGTTACGGATGGAAGCGCATATTATGATATTGAAATTGATGATGATGATTGGATTCGTATAAATGTTGAACGAGGTGATCTTATCATTATACCGTCTGGTCGTAATTATCGTTTCACATTAACAACACAGGTATTTATATATTCATTTGTTCAGTCATTTATCTATTCCTAGTTAATTCTAATAAAAAAAGAAGGAAAAAGATTCTGAAAACATTTTCCATTACATATTTAAATATAACAATAAAAATTTACAATTATTCGTTTTTCTTTTTCTAAAGTAACAAAAACAAAGAAACAAAAAAATTAAAACGACAAAAAACAGATTAAAAAAAAAAAAGACTGTTGAAGACTTTTTGTTTCCCCAAAATAAAAATAAAAAAAATTTAGATTATAATAAGATAGTTATATTAATAAGAGATAGTTATATTTTCCATATGATTAACTGCAATTAGTAATTAAAATTACATTTTTTCTAATAGGTGTTATCCTTATATTTTTATAAAATTCTCATTTATTTGCAGAACAAAGTTGTTATTCAACGTTTTTTCGGAACAAAAAATCTGACTCAACAAGGATAAATATGACAGAAGTGATACATTTCAAGTAATTTTGATTGATTAGAAAGGAAAAAAATTAATAAATAGATATTTTTATTGACTTCCTAATTCATTGCATTTCAATTTAAGTTTGTATTGTTATGATTGTATTATCATTTTTTCATAAATATATAAAATATATTCATTTTGAAATGAAAAAAAAAAAAATTTTAATTAAATATATTTTATCTGTTCTATTTATTTTTTCATTAATTAAATTTCATTCTGATGTGTAATTAAGAGCTTAATTTTTGCGAAAAGAATTTGCTTTTTTCTTAATAAAAATTTTAATTTAAATATTTCATTTCTTACAACATCCAAATATGTCGAAGAATAACAAATCATTTATACTTCTACTTCAAGTATTATGAAACAATACCATTAATGGATATGCAAATTTTTATATCATTGATAACATCCCTATCTTATAATATCTTATAATAAAATTCATTATTTCACATTCTGCTATAAATTATTTTGTGTTATACTGTAGTTATCACTTAATATTATACTGTAATCACAACTTGACATCATACTGTATTATATGTACTGAGCGTTGAATAAATTTAAATTTCTTCAATAATTAATAGCTCTAGAAATTTTCCGTTTTTTTCCGTTCTGTTTAATACAGTTTAAACTTGAATTTGTAGTTTTCATTTTTTTTTTTCAATATTCTTAATCTTTAAAATAAAAATAAAACATACAAACAACTTAAGACATTATTAATAAATTTTATATTAATATTAATAAATATTAAATTTCAAAGCCATTTTCAATTTTGAATATTAAAATCTTACAAAATGTATTCTGTTGTTTAGAAAATATTATAAGCACTAATACAAACCACAGAACTACGTAATTTAGCAAATAATTAATTAATATATTATAATTTAATTAATAAATGCATTAAAGGTTGATTAATAAATAATTTTTAATAAACAGCAATTTAATTAGGATGATTTTATTAGTAAAAGCACTCATTAAAAAAACAATAACAAAGAATATGTGAAATGAGAAATACTAGTAATTTAAACTAGTTGTAATGATTTAAGATACAAATTGGTCATTAATGTAATTATTTACATACATCAAACGCTTTTCTTTTTTTAAAAGTTTTGTAAATGGAAACATAAATAGTGTGTGCTTTGATAATTAAACACAAATTTAAATTTAATAGAATTCGATGTACGGTCGTGCAGTAGTAGTACTACTGACAAATTTTGGCATTGTCGCATTTGCAAAACATGATTTACCTCTGGATTTCAATGATATAGTTGTTTATGCCAAACCTGGTTTATTCATTTATTACATATGTTGAAAAAAACTTTGAGCAATTTTAAATTGAAATTTATGAACATTTATTTTTACTGTTTATTGCTTTAAAATTAATAATCAAGCTAAAATATAATTAGTGTAATCAGTGATTATATTTTGTAATCATTGGTATATAATGTACAATAACACAACTTGCATAATCTATTAGCAATATTTTCAGTTTTAGAATTAAACCAATATTATTTTATGATATTGATTTTTATTGAAAATAAACTTTCTAGCTAACAAAAACAAAAAATACTGCTATAAATTGATAATATTATTTGCACAAGAGGAAAATTTTATATTTTTCTTCCCTTCTATACAGGTGATGCGATGCAATTAAGTAAACTTACTGCGGATGAAAATGAAGATCTGAAAATTAACTGCGGTAGAACGCGTCGGCAATGGCTTTCAACACGTTTATTTTAAAATTTCAATAATTTTTATACAAATTCAATTTTTTTAGCACTCATTCGTACAATGTTATCAATGCATTAATGAATGTTCCCTACTTCTGCTCATCAAATAACATCATCAAATACACTATTCATATGCTAACTTTTATTTTTTTTACACATTTTCTGCTCAACAGTAGCAGTACAACTAATGCAATCTTTAAAATTAAATTTTACAAATGATTTAGCTTATAAGATTTCGGCTGGATCAGCTGCAAAATTGGGTCAATTTCCATGGGCTGTAGCATTAACTACTATAAGTCAAAAACGATACAATTATTGCGGTGGATCGATCATCTCAAAACGACACATCCTTACCGCAGCACATTGTTTCATGAAATATGAAAATGATCAATTACCATGCACGTCTGTTACATTTGCTGAATTAATCAAATTTTATTTAATACATTTGCATAAATTCTATGACTAACATTTATTATTTATGACTACTATTGTTAATCATGATTACCATTATTAATTATGGTTATCATTGTTAATCATGACTATCATTATTAATCTTGACTATAATCTTGGCCATTATTGATGATCGTGATTATCTCTGTTATTCATGATCATCATTGTTGATTATAGCTATCACTGTTACACAATCATAACTATCATTGTTAACATTGCTCTGTTACATCTTTGCATAACACACTACCACTCATTTAATTTTAGAACGGCTACAAATTTGGATGATATCACTGAAGTCATAGTACGATATGGTGGGATATGTTTGCGAAGTGACTCACCACCATGTGATGGAAAGTTGTGCATGACAGCAAGAATTAATAAAATTGCAATTCATAGGCGGTACATATGAATTAGCTTTCTAAATATAAATTCAATTAATTAAACAAAACAATGTCATCATTTTAATTTATGTACAGTACTTGTAAATCTAGAAAACAACTTTTTTTTACAGTAATTTTTCAAAGCAAATAATATATTGATTAAATGTATTTAAAAAACCAAGCAAAATTTTTTGTTTTTTTAAAAATTCTTTTTTTAGTTTTATGGATGATGGTTGTATAGGGGGATTTGATTTTGCAATCATTGAAATGGAAAGTGATTTGATGGTAAATCTATTCAACGATGTTATTAAATTTACAAATAATAGATCATATCCTTTCCTAATACATATCTCTGCTATGTTTAAAATTCAAAAGAAATAAAAAATTATCTTAATTTTGTATAATCAAGGTATTCTTGAAACCATTCTACACTCTTTCAATTTATTCTCCTATCTAATTAATCATTAATGCATCATTCTTGCCACATTTATTTGGATTTCATCATCCATCACTTACTCCGATGATCCCGATTAATCCGAATCGATCATCCTTTTCCAGTTTGGTACTACTACCTCAGCAATATGCTTACCAAATTCATCACTTGATCTTAACTCTGCCGAAAATCTCTTTGATTATGGATTTGGTGATAATGAAAGTGAGTTCAGTATCAATGCAATCAATTAATTTACAAAAAATTCAAAAATCCAAAACCTAAAAATAAATAAATCCTCCTTTTTATCATACACCTAATTTTATATAATTTGTCAAAATACAATAAAATTTTAAATAGTTTAAAAACAATACTACTTCTACTCCTACTCTTATTATTAATAACTAATTAATAATAATAACGAGAAGAAAATACCATACAATTATCATTTAGAGATGCTCTTCCAGATATATTTATAATTTCAGATGGAGAAAGCATGTCGCGATTGAATTATGGTAGTGCAAAAATAATCAGCGTTGGAGAAAAGACGGATTTCATTCGAGCTGGACCAATTCATAAGCCAAAAAATAAAACCATTTATCAGGGCATTTGTGTTGTAAGAGCATTTACTTCCAATTAATTACTTGCACTTTAATTTTACTAGTTACAATGGAAAGTCATAAATTAAAAGTTGTAAGTATGTATATTACATTACTTATAATTTTCAAGACACAATATCATTCCAGTAAATCGATTCGTCGAATTATTTCCTCATTATAATATTCATAAACAATAGGGATATTTTTTAAAATTTTAGAAAGAAAAATCAAATCTTTATTAAGAAAGAAAAGAAATATACTTCCCTTGTAAACTTTGCATTTGTATTATTTGTATTCTTTTTAATTTTATGATGAACAAAAATAAGCTAACGGATAGAATTTGAATGTTTTAAAATTTCATCTTAATTAAGCTAACAAGACTCATTGAAACAGTGAGAAGAAATTAAGCTAGCATTTCAACCTTTGACCTTTCATATATGTATATATTTAATATTAATCAATGCTTGGCATTAAAACGTGACACTAGGGTAACGTCTCACGTCGTCCTCTATGGCGGCGTCTCATGCTAATACGTGCAACTTCCATCTGATACGCGCGATTTGCCACGCTATCATGTATCGCTAGATGATTATGACAATTCTATGACATCTTAAAGTGGTCCGTGTAGTGAAAAAATACGTCTCATGGTGCATATTATATATTATGGCGAGTATATCTGAGCTCTTCTTTCTTTTCCTCTCTCTCTCTCTTAATATCATCATTTCAGGGTGATAGTGGAGGAGGATTACAGGGATTTGTTAAACAACGCGTTTTTCTCCTTGGTGTACATTCATTTGGTCCAAAAACTTGTTATAGTGGGTCACCGTTTACGGTAACCGATACTCGACCTTATGCACAGTTAATGTGTGATCTAACAGGGATATGTTATCATTTATCACCATTGAAATGATAATTATTGTTTATATATTATTATTTGTTATCTTTTAATTTCAGCAATCTATTTGTGCAAAATTAAACGGGATAACAAAAATGGAAAGACTGATTTATTTCATTTCATATTTGATTGATAATTTAACATAATTTGACTCCATTTTTTATGAATAATTTGTTACACTTAATCTCATAAATGATATTAAATATAACATTTCGAGAAGTATGGATGTTTTTATTGCATTTATATACATCTTATAAAGATTATTATATGCATGACAAGTGCAAAAAAAAGTGATAAGTAAGATGTTTAGATGAAAGTATTATTATCATATAAGTAAATATTACAGATGCCTAATATAAGTAAATACTGATAACAAATCATAGTTGAAAGAAGACTGGATTTTATTAAATGTATTCAACAGAAATATGTAGGAATGACGTACGTTAATTTGGTAAGTGAAAAAAAAAGCGAACATTTGTGGAGAATGTATATTTTACATTTCACAGTCAATTAAAAACATTTTGTTTCTATTAATAAATGAGGGCGGATGGTTTCTGCGTGTTAGGACTGTATGAATTATCGGTATTACAACTGCATAAAAGTCAAGCTAAGGTAATTTCGATTCTCCATTCATAGATGTGTATCTTAATTTTTAAGTTATTTTGTGGAAACTACTTTTACTGATAATTGGGAATAATATGACGAGAGAAGATGTAAGTTGATTACGTTTTCGTGTATTTCTCTATTTGTTTGCTTCATTTATGTTAACTTCATTTCATTTCTATGTAAAAATGACTAAATTTTGTACGTAAATGTTTTAAATACATCACTAAATAATTGCGATAATGTTGTGCGATAAAGTTTAGAACAGTTTAAATCAGAAACATCCCAAGCGATAGGTATAGATTAACGGGAGAGGGATCATAATTTATATCTAAATCAACTGTTGTTTCATTTCGCGTTACTGTTGTTGTTACTTATCAAATAAAAACAATCAAGTCAACCACTTACTGTAACTCAAAACAAATAGATAATCATATTATTATTTGTCTTGTATTTTGTATATTCTACTCGTTAGTTATCCTCACATAACAATGAATAGTCGTCAAGATTAATTATAATTGTAGATTATCATTCAATTTTTTGGAGATGAAACGAGACAAGAAAGATGAAGAAAATGGGGGCGGTAATCCATTCAGTAATCTCGATAAAACAACTGTTTTACAGGAGGTATTCGTTTGCTTTAAGAGTCCAATGTTTATTATCCTTTCTTCATAATCTTGCTATCCAGAAGAGGGCATTACAGTTGGTTTATTCTTTGAAATAGGACAGCTACTTATTTCAGATAAAGTGGTTATAAAATAGTATCAGTTGTTGCTGATGATAGAACAGTATTCTCTGTTATGTATTTAAGTTGCTATCTACCAGTGATCTGCTTTAATCATGCAACTGATTATATGTATTCATTTCGCATGTTTTACATAAACTCAGAATGTAAAAGTAATGCCTAGTTTCATGAAAAGTTCTTTTTATCCAAAAATTTAGGCTCGTGTTTTCAACGAAACACCGATAAATGCACGGAGATGTAGTTTGATTTTGAGTAAATTACTATATTTACGACAACAAGGTGAAGCTATCGGGCGTACTGAAGCAACGGAAGCTTTTTTTGCTGTAACAAAATTATGGCAAAGTAAAGATTCGAATTTGCGACGCTTAGTCTATCTTGCAATTAAGGAGTTCTGCGATATCTCCAATGACGTCATCATTGTTACTAGCAGGTTTGTTATAATTTATTGTTATAATTTATTTTCCATTGAGTAGTAATGTTACCTGTTGTTAATCTGCATATTTCTTTTTTTTTTTTTTTAATTTGTAAATTGAAATAAGAGAAATGAAAATTTATGAAGTGAATTCTAGCCTTACAAAGGACATGACTGGTCGAGAAGATGTCTATCGTGCACCAGCTATTCGAGCTTTGTGCTGCATAATTGATGGAAGTATGTTACAGGCTATTGAACGCTACATGAAACAGGTTAGCTAAATAAATTATTATTAAGATTTCTTTTTTTTAAATTCCAACTTCTTAACTTAATGATATTGAATATACTAACAAATGGGCAGTAAAGAATATGGGATATGACGACATTGTTTGTCACTTCCAGGCAATTGTCGATAGAAATTCAGCTGTTGCATCAGCAGCTCTTGTTTCATCATTTCATCTGCTTCGGAAGAATCCGGAGGTGGTACGTCGTTGGGCGAATGAGGTGCAGGAAGCTGTTTCGTCAGATAGGTTTGCTCATTTACATATTTGTTTGTCTTTTTTGTGGGATATTTTTATTATTGATTAAATAGACTTTTTTATTTTAGGTTATGTAATATACTATTGTTATTACTGAGCTTGCCAACTCTATATTCTACTCAGAAGTTAAATTTGGATTAGTTACATTATACTTGTTACTAAACTTTTGTAGATTTAATAATTTTTTTATTATTTTTACTTAAACTAAACTATGTAGCGAAATGTTGAAAATTAAATGGATGCTCAAAAAAGCTCGTTTCAGCAATATGGTCCAATTTCATGCTCTCGGCTTGTTATACCATATTCGTAGCGGCGATCGTTTGGCAGTGAATAAATTGGTTCAAAAATGGAGTAAATCATCACTACGTTCTCCTTTTGCAACATGCTATCTCATTCGACTTGCTACCAAACTTATCGAAGATGATGAAGCGGGGTAAGTTTCGTTGCATTTTTTAATATACTATTTGGCTTTCTCTAAATTTTGCTTTCTAAACCTATCTTACAAGAGTAATGTTAAAACTCGCATTAGTGTCCAGAAAAATTGCAACATACATAAAAAACGATCAACTTCTTTATGATATAACAGCCATTCATAAGTTTTTTCATTGTTTGTTAATAAAATGATTAAATTAAGGTTAATGATATTTCAGAACAGAAAGTCCCTTCTTCCAGTTCATTGAATCATGCCTCCGTCATAAATGTGAAATGGTTATCTATGAAGCTGCTTCTGCGATAGTTCGGTTGCCACGAACAACTTCATCGGAATTGTCGCCAGCTATTTCAGTGTTGCAACTTTTCTGTTCATCTCCGAAACCAGCACTGCGATTTGCCGCTGTTCGGACTTTGAATAAGGTTTTGGTTTTGTGATTTTTTTTTTGTGAATCTGACATATCTGAAATACATGGCTCTTCTTTCCTGATACTTTTTCTTTTTTGGTGCAAAGAAATCTTTCCACCTCTTTGTGACGTTTTCTATAACTAGTGATGTGGCTTACAAACTTACCGCCAGAATTCAGATATTTTTGTAGGACACTGTTCTTTTTGATCAGTTGGCCAAAACTTAAAAAATTTTTTTTGTCGAAAGTATTCTTTGACTTTTATTTTCAGGTGTCAGTGAAACATCCGCAAGCAGTAACGTCGTGTAATGTTGATTTGGAACAATTGATAACAGATCAGAATCGTTCAATAGCAACACTTGCAATCACAACTCTTCTCAAAACTGGAGCAGAATCATCAGTGGAAAGATTAATGAAACAAATTAGCACATTTGTGAATGAAATAAGTGATGAATTTAAGGTGACATCACTCATTTCGTTTCCAGTTCTTCAGAATTTGTGGTCTTAGCATAGAATTATGTAGAATATAAAAGTAGCAATTGCAAAAATGAAATATTGTTAACCAATGTGTAAATTAAAATAGCGGTTCAACTGCTCTCGTCATAAACTTTGCGTAGGTAATTGATAATTGATATGTTTGTCCCCAATGTGCTTCCCTCTATCACAAAAATGTTGATTTCTTAGACTACTGTAGCTGTAAACAATCAGATAGTTTTTTGCTGCGCACTGTGTGCCTTATATGAGTTTACTGATACCTTTGGATTGATTGATGTAGTGAAGTTAAATTAAATGACTTTTTTTAGGACTTAATTTTTTCATGTTTACTTATTGCAGGTAGTGGTGATTGAAGCAATCCGTTCACTATGTTCTCGTTATCCACGTAAGCACTCGACTCTTATGTCATTTTTGGCTACAATGTTACGCGATGATGGTGGTTTCGACTATAAGAAAAGCATTGTTGATACTATTATTGCTATAATTGCTGAGAACTCAGATGCAAAGGAAGCAGGTACTATATAATTCTTTGTTTTCGCAACGGAATCAATCTTCTTTACTGGATAGAGTGATGAATTAAGGAGACTTCTTTCATCGTCCTTTTTGGTTTTTCTAGATTACGAATGCAAATTTCAGGGTTATCGCATTTATGTGAATTTATCGAGGACTGTGAACATCCTGTGCTTGCCACTCGTATATTACACTTGCTTGGTCGTGAAGCACCAACAACCTCCAGTCCATCACGTTATATTCGTTTTATCTACAACCGAGTTATTTTGGAAGCTACTCAGGTTCATTTATTTGTACTGCTCCAAAATTCAAGATAAAATGATTTAATATGAGCTTGTTAGCGAACTGAATATTGTTGAAAGAAATTTTGCATTGTTTTATAATTTGCTACAATTTTACTTTCCAAGAAATTACAAGGATTTCACCCATGAGAAACTGATAACAGGATGAAATCCCTAAAACTTATGGATGCACTATAATGTTGTTCAAAAAGCGACTGTTTTAATAAGACGATTAAAAAAAAAAAAAAAAAAAAGGATTAAAAAGGATTTAAAAAAAAAAGAAATTGCAGAGATTGATATAATCAGTTTTTTGCAATTTGTTTTATTTTCAAGGTTCGCGCTGCAGCAGTAAGTGCTTTAGCCAAATTTGGAGCTCAGTGCCCGGATTTGCGACCTTCCATACAAGTGTTGCTGAAGCGTTGTTTGCTTGACTCGGATGATGAGGTTCGTGATCGAGCGACCTATTTTCTCTCAATTCTAGAGACGGAAAATCCTCATCTAATTGCAAATTATATTCTAAATGGACTGCAAGTTAGTTTCTGTTCTTAAAATAACATGTTGTTTTCCTTTATCCTTTATATATTGTTTAATTATTCTTCCAAAGATAAGATATCTCATAGAAAGATAGCTTGACTAAAATGTCAAAAGCTCAATTGTCAAATTTACGGTACACTACGTACATGAAGTAAAAAAATTTTTTTTTTAAAGGTATCGGTTCTTGGACTTGAAAGAGCAGTAGAACAATATGTGACTAATGGAGATTATGATAAGCCATTCGATTTGAAGATAGTACCAATTTCGGCTCTTCCACTATCCATAACAGAAGTTAAAAAGCCGTCTTTGTCTGTAGAGATAATTTCGGATAAAAAGGAAGAAAGAAAAATATCTCGACAAGAGATTTATGCAGGTTATTGATATACTCCTACACTTATAAAAAGTGTATACTTGTCAGAGAACTGAAAAAAAAATCAGTGTTGTCTTCAGAATTTTGATCTAGTTATTTGGTATTTTAGAACAATTATCAGCTATTCCGGAATTTGTCACTTTGGGTCCATTGTTCAAATCTTCACAACCGGTGGCATTAACAGATGAAGTGACTGAATATAGCGTCATGTGTGTTAAGCATATTTTTCCTCAACATGTTGTCCTGCAGGTGAAATTTTATCATAAAGATTTCTGAATTCTAATCCAAAAAATTTTTTCTTCGGTGAACTTTATTGTCATCCAAAGACGAATTTCAGTTCGACTGTAATAACACACTGAATGATCAGTTGTTGGAGAATGTTTATGTTGAATTGGAGCAAACACCAGATACAGAAGGATGGTTGATTTTGCATACAATACCACTTGAGAAATTACCGTTTGGCATACAGTCAACTACATATGTGCTGTTGAAAATACCCTCAACAAATGCTGTGACTGGAACATTCAGCGCAAGTTTAAAATTTAAAGTTCGCGATATCGATCCTGCAACAGGCGAATTTGAAGGCGACGAGACTTATAATGACGTCTTTGTGGTATGCAATTCAATTCTCAGGGACAGGCAACGAAGTTGTGATAGTTTATTGGATAAATTTTATATCATTATTAAGTGCATTTTATGGCTGTATGACTTAAGTATCATTAAATATAAAAAATTAGTTTGCATTATCTTTCTAAATTAACAGTGAGCATAGTTTTTGGAGCTCAGAATAATTCAACAAATTCAAAAACGTAATAAATGTTAAGCAATTGATAAAGTGGGTAATGTACTCAGCGGAATAGTATTTTAATCACTGGACATTTGGTAATTGACTCTAAGCAATTGTTTTAGATGCTGGCAATGTTCTGCAGTTTCTTTTTATTTCAAGAGTTTGTGAATAAGTGTGCAGTTAAAATGTTATAACATTCTTTTTCTTCATAGCTGGAAGAAGTTGAAATAATGGTTGCTGATCATGTGCAACCGATGCAACGAACCAATTTCGCTGTCAGTTGGGAACAAATTGGTGATAGAAATGAAAATGAAGATACGTATGCTTTGTCAACGGTTCATACCCTGCAAGGTTTATTCTCGTTTACACCTGAAATTTATTATTATTTTCTCTTTATGATTTCAACTGACAGAAATCTTATACATACGAAGTTTGAGAATAATGACTGCAATTGTTATCAACATTTAGTGAGACGTATGTAGTAAAATTTTTAATTAGAAGCCGGTTGGGTTGCTGAAATTCCGAAGAGTCTGTTAATTAATATTTTGTGTAATATTTTGGCGATTGCTTCTGTCAAGCTTTGTATGCTGATGGCCCTAATGTTTTGCATTTTCATGTTTTGCAATAGGATTTTGAATCCAAATCTTCTAAGTTTTATTCGGTGTTGTTTGCATTTATCTATTTACATTTTATTTACATATTCAAATAACACAAATTCTTTTCTGAAAAATAATTTGCCAGTAAAATTGAATAAGATTGAATCTTAGGTGGTAATTTCAATAATTATATTGCAGATGCGGTGAGAGAACTAATAAAATGCATAGGGTTAGGCCCATGTGAAAGATCCGATCACGTGACGGAAGGTAAAAACGCCCACTTGCTTCTTTTAGCCGGCGTATTTCGCGGTGGACATGAAGTTTTAGCAAAAGCGCGACTTGCACTGGATTCGGTTGATAAAACTGTTACAATGAATTTTATTGTCAGGTTACGTTTTGCTTTATTCGATTACAGATTAGTATTGGTTAAAATGAAGAATGAGGAGTCGAGCTTTTTCAGAGATTCAATTTTTTTGTACACACATCATGTATGTTTTTGTACCAGAAAAATCACTTTGTTTATGGACAAAGAAATTTTTCCGCTACTGAAAATGCAGTTGCATATTATAAAATGAAGTGAGATTAGAATACTGCTATTCATTATTTATTAAACGATAGTCTGGTAACTTATATTGTGTACTGTCATAGCTTATTTTGTATAATCATTATATTATCTTTCATATATTCTTAAAAATGGTTTTTATATCATAAAAAGACGAAATTTCAGATCTGACGATTCGACAGTAAGTGAAATTATAGGAAGTGCAGTAGACTGAATTTGTGTGCTGATGACTGCTGCATCTGTTAACAATGTATTGACAATAAGCTGTGGTTTCCTATATCTATTTATTATTTTTTATCAGTGTTGAAATAAATTCAATATCTGAAAACTATATTCCCAAGAAATTATCCTAATTTATTCTGACATTTCTCATACTTTCCTGATTTTAGCTGTTTTACTAAAAGCTTTACTCGTTATCATAGGATCAAACATTCCAATGTAGAAAAACAGAGTTATTTGAAACATAAAATGAGCCGTGAGGGTAAGATCACACTAGGTTATTTTCTATCACGTAATATTTGATGCCACTGATGGAATTTATTTTTTTACAATTTAACCCGCGATTATTTGACCCCCATACACTTGATGTCTTTTCATTCTTACACTCCATTGTGATCCTTTAATAAGAGAGAATATTATCTTTGTTGTTGGTACCTTTAAAATCTGTTTTTTATTTCTTAAATAATGATCATGTTAGCCAATGTATTCGGTGTTAAATGAAGTTCTATTCCATGGTAGGAAGCAAATACATCTAGTGAAACATGTAAGGCTGTCGTAAGTTAACTCAAGTTTTCCGTACTTGTCAGAGATAAAATGAAATAACTTTAGCTAGTTTAGAAACTAGTAAATACCAGGTAAAAATATCAAATATCAGGTATTCGTAGCATTCGATAAGCTAAACCTTGCTATATTTCAGATAGGGCTTAGCACTCACTTTGAACTGATAATATTAAATTATGTTGTAAACAGGATGAAAATGAATGAAGTTAAAGTTCAGGTATAGGAACGTAGAAGTTGTTTTTTCTCTTTCTCGTGAAATTGTTTATTAAAACTAGAAAGTATGTTGCAAAAAGCTATCATCAATGTTAACAAACAAATATACTATGGGACATTTATGCAAGTTATCATCAATTGTTTTATGAAATGTATTATAATAAAATTTAGCATTTTTCTCCCTTTTATTCAATAATTCAAGTAATTTCAGTCTACTTTTTTAACTTTCATATTTATATACCCCTATATATACATATGTATAGTTGTAACCTCTTCTTTTGGTCGGAAATAACGCTTTCTATAAATGACTTGTTATATTTTTAGAATTTGCAAATAAATATTAGAAAAAACGATAGCAATTGTTTATAAGAGATTTACCAATTCATATGTTTATGAATTTTTCATACTTAATGATTTCTTCATCTTGAATTAAATGATTTATTTAAAAAGTGCAAATTACTTTTAAACTACGAAGGAAGTGTGTTTGTTACATTATCGAAGTTACAAAAAAAGAAGGTATAATACTCTCGGCTTGGGATGCAATTTCGTGAGGATTATTTTGCAGTAATTTTGACAAAGTTATTGAAGCAATAATCATACTTAGTCTAAAATTATTTATAATGTAGGGTTTCTAGAAATATAAGGCCGAAGGGCAAATATTTTAATTATTTTATCGATTTTTTGCTCTAAATTCTTTTCAAGAAAAAGCATCTTTGATCAAATAATCAAAAGAATAATTGAAATGCTTCCCCTTTTTTGTTCATGGTTAATATTGGTTAAATATTGGCTAATAAGTTTAAATTGAGGTACTATTTCATCTTTTCATCTATTACAAAGGAAAAAAAAAAAGTAATTTAGTATATTTACTGTTTTAATTACTTTGTTTGTTTTATCTAAGTGTAATTCGTGATATATAGCAATGTAAGCATACGACTAATAGGAATTATTTAGTTTTTGTGTACGTAAAGGGAATCATACTTAAGTGTTATAAGTTTTATTCATTTTTATAAAATGCAGTAATGATTGACATTTTACATTTTATTTTAAATCTTTCAGCTGAATTCATTCATTCTTCCATCTTTTATTAATCTATTGCTATTTAATTTCAAAATCTTTCTTGTATTTTTTAGATTGTAATTTTATTTTTTTTCATAATTCATGCTGTTAATTATATACAGTACAGTCATCAACAAAAAAAGAAATCCATTCATGTCTTTTCCATATGTTTCCATATGTTTTTTGTGATAAATTATTTCAGGATAATAAATTATTTCAAGGTGATATTTTACTGAGTTAATCATTGAACTAACTGAATTCATATAACATAATGATGGAAAAATCTCAGAAATCATCCCATTTAGATGGTATCATATTTCATTTTTTCTTTCATACTATTTTAAATTGAAAAAAATGAGCATAAACTTGTTTTATAATGGGAAAATATCTTGTATCTCTTTATTTTAGACGTAACAGAAGCTAATGCAGTACCATCATTTGATAATATTGAATTAGCGTTAAAAGGTTTTCAAAACAATATCTTTGAAGATTTGAAAATGTCAGCTTCAGGAGCAAAGAAATTAAAATTGGATTGTTCACGAAAAGGTACTAACTAATTACATTTTTTTTTATTAGATTCACATGTATATTTTTTTCTGTACTAATAGTTTTATTTTTGTAATTCTACAAAAATTAATTTAATTGATATAACTCATTATCATATCACTTCATATTTTCAGAAGATTTTATTGGAGAAAATATCAATGGATCGAATGATAGCAAGACGATATCTGCTTCGGGATCCACAGATTCATCGATAATAAGGCAAAAGGAAAAGGAATGCAATGTAATTAAAATGCTTTTACTGCACATCAATTAAAGGCTAATTTTCTGTAGTATAATTGCGTTGAATTCAGAACTGCTCAATAATAACCATAAATATATGATCATCAGTTAACAGTAATTTAATTGTTGATAAAAAAAAAAGGTATTTAAACTGTTAAGTTTCAGCTTTTTTTAGGACCATTTTACATTTTTTTTTTTTTTTTTGTTATACGATAAAAATACTGAAATAATCGACTGATTGTGTAATAATAATAATAAAAGACAAAATATTGAAGGACTCTGCTACATATCCAACAAGTTGTCGATTTTGTGGTGGAATGTTACGTGCAATAGATAAATATCGTGAAGATCAGAAGCTTACTTTACAATGTAGAAATCGTGAATGTATGAAGTAAGCTTCTTATTTTAGATTTATCTCTAAATGGGATTCGCTTTTTGACTTTGGGCAATGTTTCAAGTTAAACAATAAACTTTCTGTCCTTAAATCTAAATCTATAATTGGTCATAATTCTGCTTTAATTTCTGAATGTGTTTTGGGACGTGTTTTGTATTTCTGTTTTTTTTTTCTTTTTTTTTTTTAATGATAGAATGCAGCAATTCAGATTTAATGGTGTCACTTCTGACAAGCAAGCCAAACAGTTTTTATCAGAGATGGCAAAACCAAAGGTTAATAATCTCTTTAAGCAATTTCTCTGTCATTTATGTAACTGCTAAAGCTCAATTGTGACAATATTGCTTTTTGACAGGCTCCACATATTGATTATGGCTGGTATTTATCAGATCCAGTGAAACATTCTTATGGGATTTTCGCTAGCCATGACTCCTCGGATTCAGAAGTTGATAGGTTAGTTTTGAGCATGCGGATATCTGATAATTTTAACTGACAAATAACACATGTTTATGTTTGATGTTCATCTGCAAAATTTTTAATTTTTAACTGCAAAGTTCCCTGATTCCCTGAGGGAGAAAAAAATATATGCTGTATAGGTCAAATGTGAATGTTCGACCAATTATTCAAGATGGAAATATAATGCTTCGAGTTTTCGGGCAAAAACGATTGGTTAGATTATTATGAATCAGATTCTGTTGTTTATGTCAATTTCATAATGTATTATTACACATTTGCTCCAATTTTTTACTTCGTCAACTTTTATTCATCAAAATCTGTACATTAGTCATTTTCATAATTTAAGGAAATTGTAGCATAAATGCGCGCCTGAGGATTGTATCTTTTCAATGAGAACTACAAAGCACTGAATAACTCATTTCCTTTGAACAGAAGCTATCAATGCCTTGGACTACTTGAGATAATCAGTAGTGTTCAGAGATACTCATCATCACTTTTAGACAGTACCTGATCATAGTTACTTTTCATACACACGGAGAAAATCGAGAATAAGAATTGAGATTGAAATCAAGATCAAGATTTTATTGTCGTTTGGCTACATGAAGCTTACTTATTTCTGGAAATTAAGGCTATATTTAGCACAAAATTTTTAATACAGTGTAGTATAGTTAGAACAACACTCTTAGAATTTGAACAATCACGCTCTAAACAGCTCAATAAACAATGTACTTTGTGCACAAATAAGTTCACAACATATAAAAATGTAGAACTAGATTATAGCTTTGCGACCAAAACGTTTGTTCAGATCTCTTCATATATTTGATTGGAAAAAAAGAATAAGTTTTCATGAAGGACTAATAGTACATTTTAAAATTGCGTTCAAAACTTTACTATCATATGGAATTTTTATTCACATTGAGATCCTAGTTTCGATGAGGTAGAAGACGTATCTTCAGCAATCAAGTTTGTTTGCATGGAATCAATTTTTTTGATAAGTTTCTTGGTCCAGCTAACCATTTCATTGATATCTTCTGTGCTGTAAACAAAATAAATCGAGCCAACGGCATAAATAATAAATTTCAGTAATTGTTTATCAAAGCATAGTGTCACATTTACCAGCTTACTGAGCATTGAATATGGCATGTTACCTCATATCTGATAGCATTAATATATCTTAATACATCTTAAATTGTAATAATATATCATAAGAGAATAATGCAGTAACAGTTAAGTGTAGATATAATTAATGGAATACATTAAAAGCATAACTGAACCTTCGATGTTTACTAACAGTGAGGATGATCCCTTTACGCACTGCAAGCTATAAAGCAAACTAATTGAATAAAAGTAAATGAGATGTAGAATGAAAATAAGAAAAAAAGAAGAGGAGTGTAACAGTGAGAAATGATTTAAAATAAGAGCAAAAAAGCAAACTTTTTGGACAGCATAAACTTTTGCGCATTCATTGATGCACAAAATGAGCGGACAGGACCAAAACGATCACGGCGTTTGGTGGCTACTTCATTTGCAAGCTAAAAGAGTAGAAAAGAAATACAACTATTTCTTATTTTAATTTGTCATATAAACTATATTGTTATTAGATTAGCTGAAATAACAGTGCTTATAGCACATTTTTAAAAATAAGCAACTATCCTTCAATTGTATTAGCAAACGAAATATATGAAAATCATGAACAAAAGAACTAAAGTTGTTTATGAAAGAACAATTTATTTTGGGGAATCAAAACTTACATATGGTATTTGCCGCATGATACCATCAACATCGATTCGCAATGTTTCTAGTTTATCGTTCATAGCTTTTTCTGAATCTGTTAGTGGGAACATTTTGGGCGCAAGACCTGAGCCAAGCTACAAAATTTCATATTTAAACTATAACATCTGAAGAAAAAATCCTGGAAAATATAGCAGAAGTCATCAAGTCAATCTTACAAAACTGCTTCCTCAATTTCTGACAATAGACAATCACATACAGAGTCTGAAATACTATATTATCCATTTAGATTTATATCTTTTTCAATATAAATACCTTACCTATAATTTTTCGTTAGAAAGCACTTTTTTTGCTGTCTCAATCACTAAGTTTTCCTGCCTCTTTAAAACTATTCAACGAAGATCTTCAAAATGAACATTCCTCTATATCACTCTTTTATTACTATTTCCATCAAATTACATGACAAAATAATATCTAAGAGTTTTTTGATAACTACCTAGAAGATTTCGAACAATCCTCATTAAACACACAACACCATCAATATTATAATAACTAGTTCTAGAAGAAGCAATCAACTGTTATCTTTCATAGCAATGAAATTCAGTCCATACAGCGTATCAATGATACAACTTCTGCACTCCCAGCATTCCAACTACGACAAAACTTCCGAACATCTGTCAAGAACAAATGTCTTACTTGATGGACCTATGCTACGCAAAATGTTACTTATTGTATAACAAACTGAGAATGCACTAAGTTTAACTTAAAATTAGAAGTTCTCTTTTAATCAATTTTACTCCTTTGAAACAAAACAAACCTCATCACTTCTTTTTTTCAATTGAGCAACAGTCGCCTGAATTTTATAAATACGATTTTTCAAATCAACATAAGTAGACAATAAGCGCAATAAACGTTCCGTACACACTGATTTATTATTACTTATTGTTCCAGAACTCATGATATTATTGGTAATTCTGGAAAAAAAAAAAGAAATGAAATAAATGTATGCATACATCAGGTAGATGGGAAGGATCCTAAATCATTGGGTAACCCAGTAATCCGACCTCTTTACTACTTAAATTATACCGAAGATATTATATTATAAATTCCTAATGAGCAAAGATATTAATTCTCAGTGTAAAGTTAAATACCGAAACTTTTAATAATAAATGATGAAATCTTAAAGCTTACATATCATGAACTTTTTTGAAAGCAACTTGTGTGACTTTCATATTTTTCACCAAGGTTTCCACAATGCTATTAGCTGCTGCTATACCTTGAGCTTCCGTAATGGATTCATTTAACCTAAAAACAATTCCAAAACTTGAATGAGGCTATGAAAGTGCATGCGAGTTTCAGGTTATTTGATTTATTCCTCAAATTCTGTTGTTTTCCAATACAAGTTCTATTTTTTAACTCAAATAGCTTAATAGGATTAAAAAATTATTAGAAAAAGGACATTCTGATAAGATAATACTTTAAACTTGGTACTGCAGTTTGAGACTCAAGGATTTTCATACATTCTTCAAGAAGATAGTCTCCAGTTTCAATTTGTTCTTCAACAGGTGTACCATATCGTCTAGCTATTACATTTTTTTCATACAAAATACCATCATACCTACAAAGTAGAAAATGATTCTGTGTAACAACAAAAAGTTAAGTTTTGTAGCATAGATAATCTCATAATGAGTCACAAACAACACGAGCTCTTCCTGACTTAACTAATGAAATAAAAAAAAAAAAGTGAAAAGGGAATATAAAAGGCTTGCTCCGTCTTTCAAATACTAAATTTCCAATTTAAATATCAAACTAACCTTGTAAATTTATGAAGCAATTGTTTTGAGGAAGTAATCGCTACATAAATTATATCTTTCTTACTGAAATCTCTCATAAGATGATTATTCAGAACTTTTTCATTGGTAGCATAAGCAGTAGCAGCGTATCTTATAGCATCTGCCGTTTCTTTTATTTCCTTGTTGCCCAAAACAGCAAACACGTGATGGACCTTCGAGTCAGGCAAATCATCCACATGTTTATCGTACCTAAAATTTTGCAAAGTTTAAGGAGTAAAAATTACTATACTTTCATTCATCATCAACATAATCTATCAGATATATGAATCATCATTTCTTCGAGCGATATATTAAATGACACAATTAAATGATTAAATTGGAGCAAAGAACATTTATTTGTATCACATTTATTTGTATTGTTGCTACTGGTTTATGCAATTCGTAGTAATATATTATCTTATATTTTACAAAGTTACGCTGTATGGTGCAAGGAAATGGATAACTTTTGTAATGCTATAAAGAAAGACAACTGCAAAGCATTAACAATGAAAAAGGTGAAATCTAAGTGAAACATCCACTAAACATAGTAACATAGTAAAACTGAAGGTCTAGAGGTAAGAGGTCAAATCAAACAGTTAAACGGTGTTTCATAATTTTTTAATCCTTACAATACTAGTTTAATATTAAAAACTTACTTTGTCTTTGTTCGAAACAAATCTGACAACAAATGAGCCCATGGATTAATATCGATTGAAAAAAGATTTGCTCCGCAAAAAACAAAATATTGGCCAGTTTGTATAGAATCTAAAGTTTCAGAAAATCAATATGTTTTTTAGATTTGAAACCATAGATCCTAACAGAATTATGCCACAATTCTGCTGCCTTTTACAACCCTTGTTCATCAGCAGGTTCTATCACGACCAAAAAAGAAAACGGTTTGTATGAAAAAATACGATTCATCTCAATTTGCTGCAAAACGATCCAGGATATTCAGTGGCTTATTTTCTTTCTTTTCTCGTCTCTTCAATGACTGATAAGACTGTCGGTAGCTTCATAATTGATAAAACAGCACGGATAAAAAACTCCGTATGTCCGTAAATTCAAGAAACTTGTAAGTCAAAGTGTTAAACTTTCGATCTTTTTAATACAAACCATTTTGTAAACAATATGAGATATCAGCAAGCGGTTTGCAGGGTAACAAAACATTATCATAGTGAGCAAGGATAAATTCTACATGTCCATTGAAAGTCTCCTGAAAGCAGAGAACGGCCGAATGAAAATCTCCGTGTAATTAATTCCAAAGTATATTATACTGTCCTACGAAACAACCACTTTAAATTGACTTAAATGATATAAAAACCTGTTGTAATGTTAAAGCAAGAAAATGCGTGATACATCCTTTAGGAGATATTAGGGAGAAAATTGGTAATGATGTGTCTTCACGATACTGTACATAAAGCATGTCGAGGGCACCACTGCAAGCAAAATCGCCTGGTACTATTCCTGTCAATGTAAGAGGTCCTTGCATCTCAATGACTCTGAAATAAAAAAGATTTTCCCAAAATAATATCTAATCAAGAAAAAAAGACTAATCGTCGTTTTGTCTTGATTCGTCATTTTACTCGTCATTAAAAAAAAAAAGTTCAGAGTAGGTTATGGCTAGCAAAATATCTATGAATCGCAGTCAAAGAAAAGTCTGTTTTTAACATTAAAAGAATCTACCTATTGTTTGAATAAATGGCAATATAAATATCGCCACAATCGTTATCAATAGCAAACAATGTTTTTAGACCAATTTGTGCACCAATTTCATTATCTCCACGAGCAAATGATGGACCAAAATCAAATGAAGCTGAAAGAATTTTTTTCTCAACCTAAACAAAGTTTATATTTTGAGTGTTTCGATGATAACCTGATAGTTAATCAGAAAATGTCAATACCATCTAATGTGTTTTTTTCCAGGAAGTATTGAAAACAATGGATAATAAACAAATTGTTGCTCTGCCAAGGAAAAATTCAAAATCGTGCGGCATTTACAACAGTTTTATAAACAATATTCAAACCTATATAATTATGTACACCAAATGAACGACCGCAACTTGATTCGCTCGGTCCAAGAAGTGATTTAAAATCGATCACAACTGTAGGTGTATCACAACTGATGTCAGTATCATAAATTCTAAAAAGTTTTCACTTCAATTTAAACATTATTACATTCAAATACTATTATGCTTTATTTTTTCAACACCTTCTTTCTTCTAACAATCACAGAAAAATGCATTGAAAAATCTTACCATTCTATCAAATGTTAAATTCTCATGTAAATAGGTTAGTAAAACAAGCACGTAGTACAAAACGTAAATAAAAATTATGGTGAATAAAAACAATCGAACGTCGACAAGAACAGAAAGTAATAGAACAAACCTAACAATATTTTCACTGTAGAGAATGGCCAATCTACTGTAAGTATGGTGTCCACATTCATATTTCTCTTTTCGACACCACCGAATTTTAAGAATATCAACCACAGTATTTTTTGACCTAGCATAAGAGTCAACAAATTGATTCCTACAAAACCAAAGGAAGAAATAAAGTGGTTTTCCTTTTTCGGTCTAATTTTGTGAAGACTTAAAAATTCAGTCCATAAATTTCTTCCTTTCAAGTTATTTGATCTGATTTACTGATTGCTGATTGCAGCACATTTCTCATCAGTACCTTACAGAACTGTTCAAAACCCTTCAAAAAGAAGTTCATAGCAATTTTTATTAAACTGTTTGATTTGATTTCTTCAGTGATCCCAGTAAGACATGCTCCGATTCAGCTACTGCTAATACTGCTTTCAAATTTTCAGAACAGCATTCGCTAACTCAAGGAAAAAGACTGATGGACAAATTTTTTTCAAACCCCTCGACTGATTGTAATTTCTGACATCTTAGTTTAAAAAAAAAAAAAAAACATAAATTTCAAATTCCAATCAGTTTAAATCTTAGACTATTCAACCTTCTTCATTTAAAAACTAAAAAACTTTCAATTCAGAACAGAATTTAAGCAGTGTAAATTAGTACCTGCAATGATAGGTAGGTTGCAAATGATCAAACACAGGATTTTCTGTTACAGACTGTCGGCACCAAAAATCGTAAGGTAATTCGACTACAAATACAGAGTGTTCACTCGACAGTGCTACACTTGTGGAATTCCCGTTCACAAACATTGCTTTGAATTTCTCATGCAACGGTAATGGTGGATCAGTGTAGAGCTTCTGCAAAAATTGGGGAGAAAAACGCAATTTGAAAAATAATTGTTTTATCAAAAGTCCTTTTTCATTTCTGTTGATATATATATATTATATATATATTCGCCATATTCCACTAATATTAGATTAATCGTTTAGCATCAATGAAATGACATGTGAATTATAAAAGGAAGAAACCAACAGTCTGTTAAAGCAGATTAAAGGAAACTGTCTTTCTTTTGGAAGACATGCATAGTAATCATGCCGAATAGTAATCATAGGAAGATCGTGAGAATAAAATTTCTACTTTATATCTTTTAAAAAATATGCTTTTACATGTCAATGTTAATTTCGATGTTTTAAAGTTTCAAATTAATAAAATTCTTTCATCTTCTTAAGAATTTTTTCTTCAGTAAATTCAGAAGCCAATTTCCTGCAAAAATTGTGTGGCGTTTGAGATCAGTGATGTCTGGTTGGAATTAATTAAGAACTTACAATTTTTCGATTATAATACGCTTTTTTATCAGCTCCTGAATACAAACCAACGACAAACCACAATGTATTGCCACCAAATATGATAAGACCATGGCTTGTATAATTATCGATCAGAACAACCTCCGAAACTTTGGTAGTCAATAAGTCCAATAATGGATACATAACTTCGGAGTCTTAATTTAAATTATATCATTATAATTCATATGGATTCAACCTCTTTTTCCTCTTATTTACTTTACCGAATATCTTATGTATCACCATAGATATATAACCAAGGCTTTTCAGAAGTGCAAACTGCATACAGAAAAACATTAATCTAAAGTCAAATTCGATTTTAGCATTTCTAGCAAATCAGAGATGTTAGCGAAGCACTCACGATATCAACAGCATCACACTTAGTCTCACGGTTTCAATAATAGAAACCTAATGAACATATAGCTATAAATATCATACCTTATTGATACAGCATAACTTATAATTTTTTAGTTGTTACATCATACTGACATAGCAGTAATTTATAGCTATTATATCCTATCAATATAGAATTAACAGCTATAGCTATTACATCTTATACTTCTATTAATAGTTATTTATTAATATAGCTATATTAATATAGTTATTTATAGCTTTTATGTCTTATTAACGTAGCACTAACTCATGGCTATTGTCTTACTGATATAGCACTAGCCTATAAGTACTATAACTTATTCTTTTATTAGTACTTATAGCTACTACACCTTATTGATATAACACTAATTTCTAGCTATTGATCTAGCTTACTTAATGACTTAGCACTAATAGCTATTATAGTCATTGAAATAGTATTAACTTATCAACATGTCTTACTGATTCATTAACATCTCTTACTTATCTTAAATCACTGCCCCATTCTCCCACCTTCACAATACTCCCAACCTGACCGACATTCACGCAAAGTTGAAATTCAAACAAACTCAAGAACAGAACGCTCGTTTACCCATTAGGAACAAGTATGCAACTATTCATCTCAACGTTAATCAAACATATATGAAAAATGAAACTCACATCTGCACACATATAAATTTCTAGTTTAAGAATTGAGTTTTATTGATAAAAATTAGCAGTAAATTACTATTTTTTTGCATTTTTCATTGTTTTAAAAAGCAAAATGAAGCACTGATGAAATTAATGTTCTGTTAAAATACAGAAATAGAATTAAATGCGAAAATGAAATGTTAAATAATGGAATGAAATAATTCATGTGCTAATTTTGAATATTCCTATCTTTTTTTGTTATTTTAAATGCTATAATAATGATTTGCACATATAAAAGAAAATTGATATCAATATTAAATATAACGCTTTGTACATTGCTTTAAACTTCTATTCCTTTTTTTTATTGTATGAAATAATTAATATCTATCTACTACATTTCAATATACCTTATTTATCTCCTAATTCAGATACTCTTCGTAATATCAGGTCTTGTAATAGCAAATTCTCTTGAAATCAATTTGAATCCATAAAGTTACTTTTTTCTAATTCATAAACTTCCCACTTTCATATTTCTTTCTCACTTTCACATTTTCGCATATTTATTTTCTGATCTAAAAACCGAATTCAAGAAATTTCGAATGATTTAAATAACAAGCACTGCTGGTCAGTGTTGCGATGGTCATCATGTATGTTCAGCGTGTGTCTGTGTGTGCGTATCTGTGTATGTGTGTGTGTGTGTGTGTGTTTGTCTATGTTTATATTTATATATGCGTAGTATATTCCTTCTCTAGAGAATGCAGTAGTAGTAGTAGTATTAATAATAATAAAAGTTATATAAAATAGGAATCCATAGAGAAAATGTTCAGTCAGCTTCTCACTGTTCAATTCATTTCCTTCCACTCATTCGTCACCATTTGCGCCATCGATCATCTATAATGCTTCCCTTCAATATAATCATTTCAAATTTTACTATATAGCTATTATTATCATTATTATATTATTATTATTATTATATTAATTAGTATTGCTCTTATTATTGGGATTACTATTGTTATTATTGTTATTATTTTGTTGTTGTTTTTATTATTTTTACTATTGATTGCATTTAAAAATTTTCAAATTTAAATTTTAGTAGTAAATTTCATTCTTTTTGAATATTGCACTTACGCTCCAATGAATTAATAACTCAGATCAAAATTAAACTCTTTTTGCCATTTTTAAGGAAAAGACAGGTTATATCAACGTATAATATGCGTACAGACGGACGTACATATATATGTGTTTATAAATAAATACAACGACAGATACTAAATAAATATGAAAATATTTGGTGTGAAGAAGGAGAGTGGTACAAACTGATGCACTCTTTGTTCGAGTTTTCTTTTCATTTTTTTGATCAAAAAAAAAAATTAAAAACTAAGATAGATGGCGATTATTTCCGTTTTCATTAACAGTGATCATCCATCTTCTCAGTGATTTTTCTATTAACTTTATTATTCTTCATTTTCAGCTAATTCAAATTAGCTTTGCTGTTAATGAAATTAAGCAATAGAAGCTGCAAATATCATTATTAATACTAATAATAATAATTAATAATAATATTAATAATAATAATAATGAAAGTCTAATTATTACTCATTTAGGATTGGTAATGATAATATTATAATGATTTGTAGAATTTACATTATTATTTTCGGCTTTACTTTTTGTGGTATTATTTTAGAAATTATTGCCGTACGAATAAATAGTTAAATATATTTCAAAATAATTAATGTAAATCATCTATGTAAATTGTTCATACTTTATGTTTTATCACAAACAAAGATCAATGTAATATAAATTAATTATATACATTAGATTAATGATTTAATAAAAAATAACAGTCAGTTTAAATGCATTTATAAAGTTCATTTTCAAATATACTGTTTATATTTCAACAAAATAATTTGATAATTTTATTTTTAAGAGAATAGATATATGTGTCAGCTGATAAGTATTTAAATCACTGTAACACTACTAGGGATATTTTAATTTTCGAAAATGTATGCTCCATTTTAAAGTGAGTGTCCGAGAGTGTACAAAGAAAAAGAAAAAGAGGCCAATAAATCGGTCATTTCGAGCAAACATCGTTCATTCAACTCCGTTCCATTTTGCATCATATTACAATTGCGTAAGCAATCAAAATATCATTTTTATTGCTTACGTTGAAAATTGTTCATTCAAAAAATTTTGACCAATTTTTAATTTTCATCTAAAATTTGATTTTTTTTTTTTTTTTTTGATTTATTAAAATAGTTTCTTTTAGTTGTTATTATCACCACATTACCTTTTTTTTTTATTTTGCATTCTTATCAACAATTTTATTCTGAGCTCTTTTTTTTGTGTAGTCATCGAATTAAATTATATATTTCTTTATTAAATTACTTTCCAATATATGAAATTTATTGTATAATTTTAAAGAAATAAGTAATAACAATGTTTATTTTAATTTTTGTTTTAGAAATGCTAGAAGAAAAAAAAATTTCGAATACATTGAGTAACATTGAATGCTTATAATTTTATTAAAATTTTCAAATTAAAAAAAAAGTGAAATAAATTTTAAAATTTAATATTTCTAAAAAGATGAATATTGCTACAGTAATATTTGATAAAAGATACCGCAACTATGGGAATTACTTCCAGAAAAGAAAATGATCCTTTCTTGTCTGTAATAGAATCCAATTTCATCACGTATTGAATTGTTTATCTGAAATCTGATTTTGTCATCAGTAACAGAATTCAGTAATGCAAGGTGGCTGTTTCATTAATCCTATTATTAGTAAGTGATCTTTGCTAAATATCTGGCAATCAGCAATCTAAATTACTATCTTGTCAATAATAATAATAATAATCTACAGTATCAATATTTACATTTTATTGTCTTACCAAAAAATTAAAAAATAAGAGGAGAAAAATTTAGCAATAAAATTATTCATTATAATTTTTTGTATTTCTAATCAAATCAAAGAAAAAAGAAAATTTTAATATAAATTGAATAGAATTTTTTATTTAAAAAAACTTATAAATATTGTTTCATATTGCAAATTATATTGTCCATGCAATTTGAAATTTGGAAGACGAAATAATTAGTTAACTGATATTGATCATTTGTTCAATTACTATCTTTTTTTTTGGTAAATGAAATGAATGGTTCAATTTCTTAAAACATAATTGAAAAAAAAAAAAAAAAAAGAAAATCTATTTAGTTGTTTGTTGATTAAAAAGAATTTTCACATCCAAAAAAGGAAATATTAATAAATTTCATCGAATTCAATAAAATATTTACAGCTAATACAGCTATCTAATAACTATGTACCAATAAAAAATAAAAAAATAAAAATTAAGCAATTGTTAACTTAATCAATTAATTTATTTAATTTGTTTTTTTTTTCGTTACAAAAATATAGCAGTTTTATTCAGCAAATTTCAAAATTTTTCTTTAATATTTTATATATTTGTTTAGTAACTGAAATGAATGAAAACTTATTTGAACAAAAATTTAAATATAATTAGATCCGTAGAATTTTTTCCTTACTTTTTTTTACATTCCTTCGTTATTATTGTAAATTTTCTCTTTTTTGCTTTAAATTATTGTTTTTGTTTTCTTGTTTATTTCTTACACTAACATTATTTTCAACTTTGAATTTGCTGTTAAATTTAGAATTAGTCGAAATTTCGTAGTCATATAAGCATAATCTACTAATTGTCTCTTGTTTATTCATTTATTTGCACAGTGCAAAATCACTAATTTTCATCCTCAATTTTTAATTTTTCTTCTTTTTTAACTATAATTTATTTCAATTAATTTTTAAAATGAAGTTTGTTTGTTTGGTTGTTTTAAGAGTAAGAAAAAATCAGTTAAATTTAATTATTCAGTAAATAAAAAAAATTTTTAATTGCATTATTTTTTCAAAATTATGTATAGATTATTCTTAAATATGAAAAAATATAACTAATGTTTTATTTTCTTTTTTGAATGCTGTATAATTTTGAATAGTTAATTTGTGCTTGTATCTATCATTCATTAATAAAATGATAAAAATTAATTAATCTAAAATATTTGAGTTTAATTAATAGTTAAAAATTAATATGCGGTAAAATGGTATTTTCATTTTGCAAAGTTAACTATTGCTAGCACAGCTGCCTGC